TTTTCTTTTATTCTAAAATATGCCCTTCAAAAAGTATAAATTAACAATAATAATTGATAAAAATTTGTGCATAACCTTGGAAATATTTAATTTGATTATGTGAATTTCCAAAAATCATTGTGAGACATAAATTCCAAAGGTCAAAGATTTGTCGGATTTTAATTCAGTTATAACAGAAAAAAAAATTAGCGATCCAGTCATTTTTTTAACAGAACCTGCTGTTTTAATCCTTTCCATTTTTTTTTTACTTTTTTAACCTATTTATCGGATTTATTCAAACCGGTTTATATTATCAATATTTATCAAACTAATAATATCTATTAAATCTTTAATCACCCCTTTAGTAAAGTTCGAAAGTCCTTGAATTGAAGCTTCCCAAACCATCAATCGTGTTTCATTGCATCAAACCTGAACTGATAGAATTCATTCATTTTCTCCTTTTTTTTTGTTTTAGATGAAAGTTAATAACAAATAATCAAAGTATCATTTTAATTCATTATTTTTCAAATTCTATACTTTTTAAAATTCTATGATTTTCACTCCAATTGTAAATAATACTTCAGTTTTAAACTTTAATTAATCAAATGAAGAATACTTGAGAGAATTAAAATTTTGGAACTTTTCAATCACGTTATAATGGTAGAATTGTATAATTAACGATTAATTGCAGTGAAATGAGCCTACGAAGTGATTTACGATTATTTTTTACTCTTACCATTGGATTTGCTTTCATCGTAATTATGATCCAAAGTCGTCGATCAGAATTGATTACTCGATTTGATTTTATTTGGAAGTTACAGGTAAATGAATTATTGCAATTCTTACAATTATTAAAACTCTTCGTTCTCTTTTCTTCCTTTTTTTTTTGGATTTAAATTTAGGAATTTATTTGTCTTCTTCTTTTGATGCCTTAAACAGCAACTTAAAATCATGCAATTCTTTTATTCCAGATTTTAATTTAATTTTACGAAAAATATGATAATTTATAAGAGTTTTAAAGGCAACATATTAATATTTATATGAATTTTTATAGGGCTATATCGAAAGCTTACCATCTGATAAGATGGTAAGCTGAAATACTGATAGTGAAATACTGATAAGATCATATCAAAATAATTCATTCCATAAATGATATTTTCAGGCGTTAGATGAAGGAAAAGAAATGGAAAAAAGGCATGCGCAAAATCGAGCCGTTTTAGAAAATATTTTACCGGCGCATGTCGCCGAATATTTTCTCAGAGAAAATGAAAGGTTATTTCGTTTTTTAAATTACTTTTTGAAAAAGAGAAAAAAAAGCGCTACTATTTGATTATTTCTACACTTTATACTTCTACCTCATAATATACGAAAATTAATTTTTTATATTTGAGGAATTAATTAAAATTAATTACGCTAAAAAAGCGATCGATGAATAATTTAAAAAAGTGGTCATATTAATGAAAGGTGCAATTAATGCAATCTTTTTATTGGTTTTCTTAGTATTGAGGAAATAATTAACAATTACTACTAAGTAGATACTATTTATTGTCAATGTTATTGATAATTGAACTAAATTTCTACCAGACGATTGACAATTAGTAATGATACAATTTTTTTTTACATTTGCATAATTTATAGGACTGAATTGTATTCAGAAGCTCGAGATAATGCTGCAATAGTATTTATCACAATAACTGAATTTGATAAATTTTATATGGAATTAGATGCTAACAATGAAGGTGTCGAATGTTTACGACTTCTCAATGAGATTATCGCTGACTTTGATATGGTAATTATCAGTAAGATTAATTCAAGAATTTTTTCAGTACGAATAATTCAAATTCGGAGCAAATCTGGCATCGACTGCTATGAGAGGCAAGTCTGATACCAATAGCTATAAGATAGCAGGTCTGGTACCAACAGTTATGAGAGAGCACGTCTGGTGCCAATAGTACGAGTGAACAGGTCTAGCCCCAGTAGGCAAGTCTCGTACCAGCAAATACAGTAGTAGTTCCAGCTCTCGAAGTATTTATCGTTACTGCTACGGTTAAAAAGCTCATAGTTAAATCTATGTCTTAGGACCTGGTCCATGAGAACTGGATAAAAACTGATATTGCTAGGCCAATATTACCAATTTATTCCACCTTACCTTAATCGTTTACATATGATAGCTAGCAAATTTACCTTGAAAAAGAAATAGGTCTAACTAACGTGAGCTAATGACTGACACTCACTAGAGACTCCTCGTCCAACGGAAATAATTGCAACTCCCGATCTGGATCACAGAGGATTTATTATTACAACACGCTGATTCCTTTAGTGCACCACGTATGCAACCTTGGACATCTCAGGACTTCACAGATCTCTTATCTAGATAAAATTAATACTGAAAATGATACGTAATGAAGATAGATTAATTGAAATATCAAAATTAGAAATGAAAATAAGTGATTCAAGAGATGATAGATTTGTTGAAACATATTAATTTTCCAATATTCGTTTGTTTACTATAAGATATTTTAGTCGATTATTTTTGCCAATGTGACAGATGAGTTTAATTTGAACAAAAATGTTTTTCCATTTCCTCTTAACTTCATTATTTTACCGGTAGGTAAAATCGGTTTACCTGTCGTTTAACCTTTTTCCGCTTATACATTACCATATTGTAAAACATACGATGCATTGTATAAAATGTTTGTGGTTTAGAATTTCGGAGAAATTTTGGCTGCTTTTTTAATCCATTATCCTCATTCCAGAATACATTTTTCATCTTTGTATACTTTGCAAATAAAATTCGGACATATGCAAAACTACATATGGTTACTGTAACCTGTCCGTGGATACTGTAACTACTGCTTTAGCTATTAATATTACGATGAAATGAAAAAAAAAGAATTTGAAGTATTTGCAAATAATCTTCATTTCTTAATAACTCACATTTACTAAAACTTAATTTTTAAAAGTTGGAATTTCAGCAACTTAGTCGCGATGAGTTTAAATGTATTGAAAAGATTAAAACAATCTCGACCACATATATGGCAGCATCAGGCTTATTTGGTAAAATTACCGACCAATCGCATGTTGTCGCTGTCGTATTATTTGCTATTCGTCTTTTAGCCCTTATAAAACATATCAATGAGCATTCGTTCAATAATTTTAACCTTAGGATAGGTAATAACATTTTACCTTTTCATTTCATCATTTTTTTTAAATTTCAAATTTTATTATTATAAATTTGGTGAATATGACTTAATATGAATTAATTAAATACTATGAAGCTATAGAAATTTTCTTTCTTTCAAAATTTCTATCGAATTTTAAATGGTTTTTTCGATTTAAAATTAATCCAAAAAGAAAAAGGAATTTATTTAGTATGCAATATTGCAAAAAAACAATATATATATATATGGATTTTGTATTCGGAAGGAAAGCATTGCTACATATGCTGATCAAATATCGAAAATATGATAATAGAATTATTTTTTACAGTTTGATAATAGAACTATACTTTTGATAAGAGAGTTAGGATAATATGACGATGACGGAATTATGATTATAGGTAGTAGAATTATATTTTCGATAAAAGAATTGTGATAACAAAGTTCAATGATAGAATTAATAAACTTATGATAATAGAAAGTGGTGATAGGACTGTGTTTTTGATAATAGAATTGTGATAACAGAGTTTGACAATAGAATTATATTTCCGATAACAGAGCTGAATTATATTTTCGATAATGGAGTTATGATAATGCAATTACATTATTATAATAGAATTAATTTAACAAATCAGTCAAATACTGCGAAATTATAGGAATTTCCTTGCTTCTAAAACTTCTATCGAATCTGTTTTAAAAAAAAAAGAACAAAATGTAGGAGATTATCTCTGTTCTATGGAATAATCATTTTTAAGATTGCTTCAGAAGTTATCACTTTTTTTTTTTTAAATCATGCACTTTTCTTGATTCACGAAATTCACTGTACCATTTGAATATATCATCCATTAGTTCTTAATTTGAAATAACTTTGTCTAATACCCAAACAAAAACTTATTATTTACATGTTTGCTGAACGGATGATATTCCTTTTTTAAGGTATCAATGTTGGTCCGGTAGTAGCAGGCGTTATTGGTGTCAAAAAACCGCATTATGATATCTGGGGCAACTCGGTCAATGTTGCTAGCAGAATGGATAGTTCTGGTGTGGCGGGTAAAATACAAGTAAGCAATAATGTTGGAGGAATTCTATCTATTATTACATATTTTTTTTGATTTTTTTTCAAAATTTCTAGAGCAAAGTGAAACATATTAATTTAAAAATTGAACTGGGGAGGGTTAAAGTATGGTTGAAATGAATATATTTAATTTGAAAATAGCCTTTAATAATAACTAAATAACGTTTGATGCGTAAAATACTCTTGAACGGTTTAATACAGGTAAAAAAAGAAATGTGATACGGAATACTCATATCACATTTTTTTACCTGTATTGTTCATTTGCAAGAAATGTGATGCAGTAATTCATTAAATATTACCACCTGTAACGTTTAATGAATTGATGCATAAAATAGGATTGTTTGTTTGTAAATATAAAATTAGTTTTCAAAATTTTCCTTGAAAATTTCCACAAATTTCAGATAACAGAAGAAACGAAAAATATCTTGGAAAAAGAAGGGTTTGAATTTGAATGTCGTGGCATAATCAATGTAAAGGGTAAAGGTGATATGAAGACGTACTTTATCAAAGTATCAGAAGAAGACTTAAATCTTAATTTTAGTAAGATTTGAAATTTTGATTTTTCGACTACAAATCCTATTTGGATTTCGGTTCCATTACTATTATTATATATTAAGGAAGCACTATTTTGTACATTCTTCTTTTCTCTTTTTTGTAAAATGCATTCATGAAACTTATTATACATACATATATATCTATGAGAAGTGTTGTGGAATTTAATTCAATTCAAATAAACGCCACACATAACTACGTATAAACCTTACTTCAGAAGAAGTTTACCATGCTTAACTGTTTTAATCATTAATTTGATTGAATTTTTTTTAATCAAGCTATCGATTGTTTGATTATTTCGTTGTTCTAAAAAAGTTAGCTTATCTAATCTGATAATCAAAAGGAAAAAATTCCTATAAATATATTTTTTTTAAAAAAAGGTACGGCTGATCACTCTTCATTTTTTGGAAATGATAAGAAATGAATGAATTGATATGACAATTAAATATTTAGAATAATGCACTTTGAAATGAACTACTTTTAAGCTAAAGAGCTTCTGAAAGACAAAGCATTAAAGAAAAAAAATGTCATGGAAAAGTAAAATATATGAATCCGACACATAACGCGTATGATGCATATGATGTAAAGCATATGATACGCTTAAACATGTGCCCATAAAAAAGCATGTACATGTGATACGTAAAAAAGAATGTGCACGTGATACGTACAGAAGTGGGCATATGTGACGGGCACAAAAACGTTTACAAGTCTTTTTTCCAAGATATGTCATTTGTAAAAATAAAAAATGCAATAAATATCGATAGTTTTCGTAGCACGTAAGATATTTCGTTTCTGATTAATAATAATATCCAGATGAGTTTCCCAAATTAATCTACATTGCAAGATTAGCATTAGATTATAGACTGATTGGGATAAAATACTGAAAAACTAGTTGCGAGAAAGCACTTATAGACACTGACAATTCCGTTTCTTGTTCAAACCTGAATGCTTTACATCAATTTATTACTTTACACATATCATAGCAAAATAAAATCGAATATACCAACAAATCTTTTGATCATATAATCATTGGATCTGTGCTAATAATAATAACATGGATTTTCCAGCAAAATGATTGCCTCATGATATGTCTGTAGGGAAGACTTTTCGGCAATGAGATAGTACAAGATTGAGGAAAAAATTTTATTCTACTTTCCGTCGTCCACGATAGCTTACGAAATTCGGGAACGGTCCTACATTTTCTTCTATGAAAATCCGCCGTGAAATAATGATAATGAAGCTAACGATAAGTGCACTCAGCGAAGAAAATAACAGAAATGGTGCAAATATCGCCAGTCCAAAAAGAAATGCGATAACTGAAATAAAGTATGAAGATTAATTGATAATGCTGATAATCTGTTGCTGATAATCAAAGTATTTCGTGGTTAGATATTGCAAGCACTTTTCTGGAAACTAGTTTCACCTATAATTATAGTGTAAATTTCTTAGTTCACGATAGTGTAAACTATGTTGCTTAATTACAAGTTGGGTAATTAAGGCAGATATTTTGGAAGAATGCAACAAACTTACATTGTATAAGAGCAGCTGAAGAGTAAATGACAATGCTTGATATGATAACATATAATGATAACAATATAATAGGAATGGCATTAAATATTATCAATATTTTAATCAGTACAGCCAACCGCCAATCTAGTTCACTATCGAAAACGGTTAGCATGGCCACAGGCTATAATTTCTAGTATATATAGTGTAAGAGTAAGCTGATTAATTTACAGAAACTGAACTTTCCAGACGTGCATGCATAAATATTAAAACTATTGCAGTTTATTAACTTACAGGATAATTTGGTGAGATTTTTTGACAGGATATTATCGACAGACTGAAATATTATCGGCTAATTTATGATGTAATATCATAGTATAAGAGGGTTTAAATGACCGAACGAATCAGAAGTAATTTTACCGAACAAAAATTAGTCAACATGTTTTGCTATATAGGTTCAATGAAATATATTATCAAGAAAATTTTGGATTAATTTAATCATGTTTACACTTCTAATTCGTTCCTAAGCCATAATTAAAAATATGTCTTCCTTATGACAGTTAAACTTATCTCGTAAGCAGTCTCAAACTAGAGCCACTAGGAAGAAACCATACGTGTATCTTTAAATAATAAACATAATTGAATTAATCTGAACATTTCAAGGTAAAATGGATTACCATGTTGTATACTGTTATTTAACATATTCTGCTATGAAATTCTATTGTACGTTAATACATTTTTATTTGGGCATCAAAAATAGAAAGTGTGGTGGAATGAGTTTTCAATCGGACAAAAGTTTTTAAAGAGATATAGTCAAAGTTATAACAAAATTATTGTAAAATAGATACGCTTAATAATGTTAATCCACTATTCATCGGTTTAGGTTTGTGCATATTGCATTTCTCGAAACCTCAACGAACTCAGTCTATGACAGATCACTTTTATCGGATGAATCGAATAGTTCAAACCTAAAATTGAGAAGTTATAGGGGTAACAAATTAAAAGGAAGTGACATAAACGTAAATTTAGTTTCCGGAAACGCTTTAAAAATTTCAGAAATTGGTTGGACATTGGATATTAGTCGTCGTCGAGTGTCACATATATTTTAATTTCCGTTTGATTGTAAAATAATTTGATGCTGTATAATATGCGAGAAGACAACTAGGTCCAATGTGATTTTTTCGAATACCGATCAACTTAGAAAGTACCAATCTATCCAGTTTGTTCACCTTTTTCATATGCTGGAATTGTCGAACAATACTAGAATGAACAACCTTTCCTGAAGAACAGCTTCGACAATTTAAAATTTAAATGTTGAACTATTTAAATCATCATCGTATTCTATGTAGGCTAGTAAAATCTTTGAACTCTGGTAATGCTCCCAGTTGCAACTCATATTTCGATCATTTACAATAAATATAAGACAAATATTAAGTAATTAATAATCAGCAAAAAAAAAAAACCAGCAAATGAGCATTAAAATATGCATGATATATTTATTTAAAAAATATTCCAAGATTAAAAAGTAACAAAAAATTTTTATAACAAAGGCAAGTATAGGCAGCTAAAAAACTCTAGTTGAACTTATTAGCATATTAGAGTACAAAAAAAAGCAATAAAAATATATAAGGTCATTAAATATGGTTGATTTTTAATAAGGAAACAGTTCACGATGAATACATGAACGAAAAATATGATGCTCGAATGACATACATTCTTCCTAAGAAAAAGTATAACATGTGAAGAAAAACGAAAAAATTTGATAAATAAAAAAGACTGAACAAAAAATTTTACAAAAACTGTAAAAGTATTCAATGACATAAGTAAAAGCAGTCATGCGCTTCAAAAAAATAGAAATGTTAAAAATAATTGTCAAATATACATTTGTAAGAATAACTGAGCAAGCTTGAACGGCACTGATAATACCAATAAGACAACTGACATGTTCTTGAAAAAAGAACAAAAAAGACAAAAAAGAACAGGGAATATACGAAAGCTATCATATCTATACTAACTTTATTTTTCTTATATTGAATCCTCAGAATTACCTGATTTCTTCCGGTATTTTTGGAATTCTACTGTTGGCAATTCGCTCAAAACCGTTCATTTCCATAAATTTTCGACATATTTCAAGCGCTCGTTCCTCAAGCACAATATTGAAACATTCAGGCTAGAAAGAAAAGAGTCAAATTGCTTTGACTTATGCACTTGAAAACAAAACAATAAAAGTAAAAATAAACTAATGAGTAATTTAAAGGGAAAAATTCTATGATAACGGAATAATTTTATGTTTTGCTAATCTGGTAAAAAAAAAAAATCTGCTCATGCGGTCTAAAGTAACCATTTTAAATTATACCGCACTAAGTGTTACATACAGTAAAAAGAATTTACAAATGCAATAAACATCAGGAGCAGGTGATCATCGGAGAACCGTCCATGATGAAAAAGAATTTATTAACAAACTAAAATTTAAATGACTTATCTAGAAGAAACCGCAGAAAAATTAACAGAAGCACTATAAGCAAATAGAATGAAAAATAGAATGCTATAAACATCATTTAAAAAAAAAGTAAACAGAATGCTATAAACACCATTTTTTTAACAGTTCAAAATCCAACGAAGGATTAATTAGAAAAATGAAAATGATCGTTGATTCATTTTAGGACTAATCTAACTTCGTTGGAATGATCTAATTCTGTGACCGCATGGGATTCTTTTAAATCTATTACATATATTATGATCAAATTGATTCGTCTAAACTTTTTTTACTACTCTTTCAAATATACTTTGTACTAAAGGACCAAGTTAACCTTCGAAACAAATAGTAATAAAACAAAACCAGGCCAATAAGGCCAACTTAAAACTACACTACCCTTAGAATGAAAGAAAGCGATAAGCAGCTGTTCGATAATAACTTACTTTATAAAAGGATTTTGAATAACCAAACATTCACTACAATTTGCATAAAGGCGAAATGTCAAGATAATTCGATTGAATAGCAAAAGCATACCGTTACTTCAGAAAGCGGAATTCCAAGTTCCTCATTCACCTCCTGTATCGTTATTTTTTGTTTTAGATAATGCATTATATCACGAAGAAGAGCATTTCCTGAATAGTATTGAAGTATGTGATTAAAATAAACGACTTAAATAAACAAAATTAGATTCTTTTACTAATCAAGATTAAGTCGAAAACCAACGAAAAGTAATTATGTTCAAAATACTTTGCTCTATAAGAGCTCTATATGTAACAATGAAAAAAAACCAAATGAACTTCATAGAATTTTTGAACTGACAAAATCAGCAATATAGATTTATCATGTTGAGTACCAATTTTGCAAGATATTGCTTTTCTGCTGAGAATGTCTAATCTGCCAGTCATTCAAAGTCAATTTTACATGATACTTCACTTATTATCCGAAAGACAATTGCAAATTCTAAGGAAAGCTAGAATGGATTAAACTATAACAAATGCTTTCATTTTCTCGTGAAAGTTTTATACAGGCCAAAAAATGCAAACCATTTTCATTCACGCTTACAAAATTACGAAGACGGGCATTTGAAAGCACTTTTACGCAGAGTTCATTCACTTCTTCAATCCATTTATTAGCACCCTGGAATATTAACAGCACCTAACGAACATTTATAAATATAAAGATTATCAATGTAAGTTGTTGTGAGAGACACGAATCACAACAATTTGAGCAGCATTTCATAAAATAAAAATAATTTAATTGCTGATACTCATAATTTACATACAACGGTATCAGAATGTACGGTACTATGAAGATCAAATATTATATAGGATTTAATCGAAAGTAATTTATGGAATAAGGAACACATGTTCTTGTGATAAAATGATAATGGAAGGCAAATATAACTGTGATAAGCTATAGACATACCTGACATGAAGAAAGTTTGAAAGGTTAAAAAATTCCAGAGCAATTTTCTGAGAAAATTTCTCTTTAATAAAAGCTGCTATGCATTTTCACGACCCATTTTATGTAAAGTTAGTATAACCACTTTTCATCAATGAACTATCCCGAAAATTCCTCCTGTTTTGAAGGATAAAATTTAAAAGTTTTCAAGTTATTCATCCCGACAAAGCAGTGAATTGAGCACAACAACCACTGATTACACTAAAGCGGTATTAAGTCCTCTCCTTCACACTTGAGTAATTCCTGTTTATTCAAATAATTGTCAGTAGGTATTTTTATGAATTTGAAAATGCGTTACTGGCAGATAACTGAACCGAAAAAGAAAAGCACCAACAAGATGGTACCTTTGCGACAGAGATGTCTTCTTCTAGACTTGTTAACATCTTTGAATCCATCCCACTCATAGTTCTGAAGTAAAACAAGTTATTGCAAAAAAGTGTCGAAAAAATTATGTATGTGAAACAAGACGTAATGCTAAGCTTTGAAAGGAAATGAAGGGACTTTTTTGCTTGCTTGAAAGGAAGTGAAGGGAGATTTAAAGAGATCTGTGTAGACTAACTGGTTGGTGACAGAAAGTATCGGACTGCAGCCAACATCATCTTTCATCTGCAAATCACTCTTTGCAAATCATTCAAATCATTTTTCTTTTATGACTTTGTTTCTTAATTTCAATATGAACAAACAATCGAAAATTGAAAATAAAAACGAAAATTTGAATTAAAAATCTGGAAAATTCCAGAAATAAACCTATTCACCTGGAACACTGGAAATCTGCAAAGTATTCGGTAAATTTTCCAAAATTCCTTTTCAATCACGATTAAATTTTGTCATTATTTGAATTCGTAAAAACAAAACATAAAAAATGAAAATGACCTCAATTCCAATATTTTGTGTATGTTGCGTTGATGCCCAGCTTTCCTCTGCATGATCTCTTAATAAAGTTTACGAAAGGAATAATCGGTACAATTAGTTGTTTTGACTCTGTTAAAAGTGTTCCTACACTTATATATAGGTCAGGCATCACAATTTCTAAAATAATCGAATATTGGAACTGAATTCTGTGATTACACACCATGCACTAAAATCTTGCGATACGAAGGATATTAAACATCGAAGATTTCCAAAGTTCTTAGCATGTAAACACCTGAACTTGAGTGAATAAACTTTTTATATGATATATTTAACTTTCTTACTTAACTACCTAAATCAGGAAATTAGGTCTATACGGAAATTTTCACTTACTTCGACTCATCGCGAAATTCTTCCTTTTTGTTTTCACTAACATTCTGAGACTGATCGATCAATCTATTGATATCGTTACATTTTTCGCCATTTTCACCCTTCAACGTCACTTTATTTTATTTCACTGATAAAATTAAAACCACTTTCACCGAATCTTCACCTTGATAGTTACAGTAACTTACCGGCAGAAGAAATAAAGTCCAAAAATAAAATGAAACAAGCTAACATTTTTATGCGGTTAACAGCATATCTAAAGAATCTTCCATGTAATATAACTTTGCAACAGTAGTAGATTATGGATTCTAAGCTGTAATTCAGCAAAAGAGTGGAATACCTGAGTTCGTTGCACGTCCTTCATTTTATGTGATATATGTTCAATAAATTTGCTATCCCATATATCTTCCTGAAATGAACCAATAAAATTTCTCCTGAAATTATGCCTATCGTCTATATCCTGCAAGTATTTATCTGATATGACTATCAGTCATATTTCTTTGATAATGAAACTAATGGAAATAACCACCACAATGAAACAACAAAATAGAACTCCCGGTTAGCCTTTAAACTTTTTTTACTCAACAATTTGTTTCTTAGCAATTAAAGTTGATGTGTAATGCTAAACGATTTCGATCAGAAACATTTCAGATCGATTCTAATTCGTCTCACTTCGCTTAATTCCATGAATTCTTTTTTTAGTTCAATTGGAACATTGTCTTTTGACGAGCTGGCAAATTCGGAATCACCATTACAAATCATAACCGTTTGATCAACCATTTCCTGTAATATAACTACCAGATAAAATCTAAGCATATTCAACAACTATTAGAATTTCAATAAATCCATATTCGCGTGAAAAACTAATCGCAAATCTAGCTATTACTTTAATATTCGCTTTTACTTTTTTTGCTACTTAATGTATCTAGAACATCTAGTTAAGGAAGAAGCATATAGAACATCTAATTAGATCAAAAACAAAGAACAGAAGCCAGTCAGGAATGGTAATTATGTTACTGTTTAGAAATAAAACCTCTTTAGCGAATGTGTTGAAGGAAAACTTGTCACCAGAATCCAATTTATTGTTCAGGATGAGAGAATTAAATGATGAACACGATTCGAAACATTGATTCATCGAATGATTGCTATCATCAGCTAATGGAACAACCGCTTTTGAAGAAGGCTAAATTAAAGAAGACGACACTCTATAGTATTTAGCATCAACAATTCGAATCCATTAAACCGGAAGAATGTGGGATGCAGAAAAACAACTTGTAGTTAAAAGCATTTTATAATGTTAGATTGGAATAATTGAATACAAACAATAAACAAACAATGTTTTTGGACAGAAAAGAACAAATCCCCTAATGATCATTAAACCAACATTATTGCCGCCGGCTTCCGCAAATTCTATATTGCTCCCAATTAGTGATTCGGATATATCAATTTGTATACCGGATATTTCATCATCCTGTCAAAACGAGACTGTAAAAGTCTGTAGAATTTCAACAATCTAAAAACCCCGGTCAAATCTGCTTAATAAATAGACAGACAGTCACCAGAAAAGGAATACACAGTAGCAGTATGTCTTGCCGAAATAAACTAATTTGTATCGTCTGTTTTGATTTCTTCAGAAGAGCTTGCATGTATACTTATACAATAAACATAGAACTATATATAGGTCTGCAACAGACCTACGTACAATTCCCAAGTAAAATATGTACCTCAACATTCCTGTGAGCGTCGAAAGTGCAAAAAAAGATATTTTAGTGCTTTAGGATGCATTAAATGAAGAGCACTAGGATACCATGAATATAGCGAACTTATTTTAAGGATGATGTTAAGTGTTGCTAGCAACGCTTAACATTATTAGACATCATCGTTCATTATTAGATGGTAATCCACCATTTTGATAGTAAAAAAAAAAAAGAAAAAAAGAATAACTTACGATAACTGATGATTGGTCTGATGATGTTATATTCAGATCTGCAAAATATTTTATGCCAGAAAACAGAAATATTGAACATTATCACTCAAGATTGCCGTCCATTACACCATACCAAATAAGGAATAAACATTTTTTATTTCACCATCAGTATTACTTACTTTCACGGGCGTCCTCAAACTGTTCAACTCCTGTTCGTTCAGTACAAGTTTCGAAATATCGTTTAGTTGTGAAGAAATCGTCTCTCTATGAAATGAATCGATTAGATCCTTTGAATGAATTCGGAGGACTAGAAAAAATAATTAAACAAAAATCACATAATGTCGTCGCAACTTCTGTGCACATTTCGAACAAAGACTGAATTACGGAATATTCGTCCAAAATTATACATAAATTTCATAATGACAAAAGCAGCAGCTATAACAACTTGGATAGATACAAGTGGACTTACAATTCCAGCAACAGCATTACTATCATTGGTTGCATAAATACCAATGCCAGAAGCACCATCATTGTACGCTCTGTAATAAAGGATCGACATCGTTGTACCCACAATGGGCCGAGCAGAATATGCTATATCCAGTAACGTGATAGCACAATCTAGAAGTTTCGTACACTTCTCGTTATCACTATTATTATCATAAATCATACACCTACGAGAGAAAAAGAAAAAAAATTGTTAAATAAGTCGGTATATTATATAGTCACAGTATACAGTCACAATATTCATTTAAAGCTCACTGTCATTAATACTCCCCGTAAAATTTATTCCTAGGTAGGTGTCATTATTATATGAGTTTTGTTGATGTGAAACTAGGATGTATTTGCATATAAGCTGTCTAATAGAATAATTTTCTGAAGAACTCAAAATTACCTGATACAAAGGCTCGACCATCTGCCTTTATCTCGGCTTTCTGTACGAAAATCAGAATTTCGGATTGAAATATACTTTGGGATTCGACATTGATTTCTTTAGCCTGAAAATTTTTCGATTTGAATAACATTTAAAAAATGAATGCATTTATTATAATTACAATAGGTATGTCTACTACACTTGCAAAGATTATGTTTTTCATACTAACAGCGGCATATATACTTTTCTCAGAAATAAATTGCATTGATATACTTGATGTATTAATGACAAGTATACTTAAGGCACTTATAATAAATATATTTAGAGTTACTATTTATTAGAACAGAAATTAAATTATGCATGACCGCTTGCATCTTCGAGGAGAACTTATTCCCAATCTAAAAATACTTATTTTGTGAAACAAAGATCTTAAAATGCGTCCTTAAAAGCAAGCAAAATTTGAACCTTTCTGCTTACATTTTGATAATCAAAAAAATAAAAATATTCACTGAACTGAAATTATATTACAGTTGAAAAATATACTTAATCCATACCGAAAAATAGGCTGGTGTACCATTTTTCCGGAATGGTACTGCTTGAAATTCAACAGCAGTTAATGGTTTTAGTTGGTAAACGACCTGCCCTTCTATTGCAATCAAACCGATGCAGTCATTCCAGAGATAACCAGAATCACCGTTCAGATTACATACAACTGCTGTTCCTAGAAATAACCACTAATTTTGATATAAGAGAAGAAATTGAAAAAAATGAAGAAATAAAAGACTACATGTTATAACATTTACTCCCATGATAGTTCCGTGAATAACATTTGATATTTCATGCATAACCGCTACATATTTACCTTTAACAATACAACTATCCTCTGTAACAATACATTTCAATCGTGGATATGCCATTAATATAATCTTTCGGGCAAACCATCTTCCATTTTTCTGGAAAAAAAATTAGGAACCATTTTTTACTAAAATGTACACTAACAATAATTGGTGGCTAGACTACATATATCACATATCATGTTATATCTCTCAGCATATTTGTCTTTTTTTGCAAAGCAAATCCAATCATTATTCTTTAAATAATAGGAAAAATATGCAAAATGAGGGGGAAAGAGAAACCAAGAGAGAAAGAGAAGGGAACAAAGAAATTGAAAATGTAAATTAGCAAGCATTTCAAACCTGGTAGGATGCTCTAAAACTGCACCACATTCCAACATTTGGCTTCCTACTTCTGCTGATTACTTCTGTTGTTTCATCGATGTAAACTTCACCAATTACAGAGCAATAAATTGTTCGTATAGCATTCTGTGAACAATCATAAATGAAACCTTCCAGATTAATTCCTTCCATCCTGAAAATACGTGCAGTTATGTATCACATATAGTTATCAAATAATATACTTTTCACATAAAATTATGCAAACTTTATGCGTATCACGTGAGGTCATCATGGATCATTATTTACATATCACATACGACCATTACATAATGTACTTTTCACATAAAATTATGCAAACTTTATGCGTATCACGTGAGGTCACTACGACTGGATCGATTAGTTTACATATCACATACGACCATTACATAATGTACTTTTCACATAAAATTAATGCAAA